TAGATTTTCTCAGCATGGCACAGCAGCAAAATCAGGAGTAGGCAACCTAAGGCCCGTGGGCCAGATGCGGCCCAATTGCCTTCTCAATCCGGCTCGCAGACAGTCCGGGAATCAGCATGTTTTTACATGAGTAGAATGTGTCCTTTTATTTAAAATGCATCTCTGGATTATTTGTGGGGCATAGAAATTCGTTCATTCCCCCACCCAAAAGAAATATAGTCTGGCTCACCGTTCCACCCCATTTCACCTTCCCATCACTTTCCTTACTACAAAAAGTCTGAATTGTTTTGAAGTGGGTTTGTTGCAGAAGAGCTCTCTGATCCACTTTTAGTTGTGCAATCCTAATTTTGCCAGTATGCTGCTTAATCACTCCTGCAAAATAGTGACAGTCTGGTGGGGACCCTGATTTCTTCTTTTGTCCTTCTGCCCTGTTCCCTCCACGCCCATTGATTTCCTGCAACATCTTGCCCAATAAACAGTTCTAGAGAACTCAAAAGCTTGCAACAACTCTGTGACAGTTTGGTTAGGCCTAACAAAGTTAATACCCTACAGTGGATATCAGAGGGGTTTTTTTGTCTTTCTTATGGACCTTTGCTCTTTTATCTGAATTTGTTTGTTTCTGTTCATATAGAGCTATCAAAGTTTTGTAGCAGCCTACAAAGAACAAGAGGGACGCGGGTAGCGCTGTGGGTTAAACCACAGAGCCTAGGACTTGCCGATCAGAAGGTTGGCAGTTCGAATCCCCGCCACGGGGTGAGCTCCCGTTGCCCGGTCCCTGCTCCTGCCAACCTAGCAGTTCAAAAGCACGTCAAAGTGCAAGTAGATAAATAGGTACCACTTTGGCGGGAAGGTAAATGGCGTTTCCGTGCGCTGCTCTGGTTCGCCAGAAGCGGCTTAGTCATGCCCGCTCCCTCGGCCAATAAAGCGAGATGAGCGCCGCAACCCCAGAGTCGGTCACGACTGGACCTAATGGCCAGGGGTCCCTTTACCTTTACAAAGAACAAGAAGACAGGTTCCTACTGCAAGGAGCTTACCATCTAAAATTTGACATGAGGCACCTGTTATGCTTCTTCTTTTGCTTGTTGTTTCTAAAAATCAATAAAATCCACGGCTCTTAACAAATGACCTCAGGGAGGCAAAAGAGAGGGGGAGAGATGGAGGCTAAGAATTTCACGTGCTTGTACTAAGGCTTCAGTTTCAGTAGGGGTCAGGGAACTAAGGCAGGGGTGTGGAAGCTGTTGTCCTCCTGATGTCATTGGACTCCAGCTCCCATTAGCCCTGGCCAGCATGGACAATGACCAGGGCTGATGGGAGTTGTAGTTCAACATCACATACAAGGGCACAATCCTAGATGAAACCACCACAGAGAAGTGCGGAAAGGCATACAACTGTAACTGGAATAAGAAGCTTACAATGAGGTGGGCAAAATATTGTTGCAATATGTACATTTCAGCAAGGCTTGCAAAGAAACATATGGCGCAACAATAATTATTATTGCATCGAAGAATGCGCTAAGCAGTTGACAACAGACAGGCTTCTGGATAAGGTCCTGCTTCGAAGGCCTTGCTCAGAAGACAAACCAGCAAAAAGCATTTCGAGGCCCCGGCCGCAGTTTTCACAACCAGAATGTTTATATCTCCAAAGAAGTTGCTTGATTCCAAGAGGATAACACCATTGCTAGGGTGCAAAGTTATAGGCAGCTGCACTACAGAGCCTTCTTCAATGCGATAATAATTGTCGTTGAGCCATATGGTTCTTTGTAAGCTGTGCTGAAATGTATATGCTGCAATTGTGTTGGTATTTTGTCTACCTCAATATAAACTTATTATTAATAATATATCGTTGCTATAGCTGTGTGCCTTTTGGTACTATTCTGTGGTAGTTGTAGTTCAACAACATCTGGAGGGCCACAGCTTCTGCATCCCTGGACTAAGGGGTTACAGAAAAGGTTGAGGGGAAGGGTTGAGATGGAATTTGAAGGAAGTGAGAGAAGCAACATCAGACAGGGATTCTGCAAGGCCTAAATACAGCATTGCCTATAGCAGGGTTTCCCAAACTTGGGTTTGCAGCTGTTTTTTGGACTACAACTCCCATCTTCCCTAGCTAACAAGAGCAGTGATCAGGGATGATGGGAACTGTAGTTCAAAAACAGCTGCAGACCCAAGTTTGGGAAACTGGTCTATTGTCTGACTGGCAGGGTTTCAGGTGGTCTTTGCCAGCCCTACCTGGGGATGCCAGGGACTGAGCCTGAGATCCATTCCTCGCAGAGCATGTCCTCTGCCATCGAGCCACATCCCCTACTTACTGCAGCGTGGGAGAAAGGCTGGAGTCATTTGTGGGAACAGGAGACATTTGGATGACTGAGGTCACATCCACAGCATCCATTTAAAGCACTCTTATAGCTTTAACAGTCCCAGAGAAGCCTAGATGCTGTAGGTTTTTTAAGGATGCAGGCCTCACAGAGCTGCAGATTCCAGCACACACTCTCTTTTGGGTGGGGCGGGAAGCCATAACTGTTAAAAGCGCTATAAAAGTCCTTTAAATGGATGGTGTGGCTTCAGCTTGAGGGTGGTGAAGCTGCTGAAGGAGCAATAGTCTTGGAGAGGGGATCTGTATTGGGATCTGAGCGCAGAGTGATAAAGGGGACAGCTTAACCATGAGAAAGATCTCATCAGCATGATATATTTAACACAAAACACTTTCTTTCCATCCCCCTGTTTTTCTCCATTCAGCTGCAGAGGAATATGGCTTGCTCTCCTTGTCTATTCATAGCAATCCAACCTTTCTGCGTACTTGAAAAACAGTTGTTACCTGAGCCTTACAACCATTGCTTTGCCTCCCACCTGTTGGTTATATTTTTACGGATCCTTCATGTTCTCTGCCCATAATAAGCAGAAAATGTATTATGTGCTGTTTGGTGTGTGCGCGTTGTGTGTGTGTGACCACAGAACCATGTGTCAGAACAAATTTCCATCACTTCTGCAGCCTTCAGGAATATGTCTGAGAGAAATGTGTGTGTGTGTGTTTGAGAAAAGGCGCTTCTGGAGGCAGCAAAGAGGAACCCCAAATAAGAAAGGTTGCGGAGGGGGAATCATACATAATTGTGGCACATTGATATTTAGAAATATAGGGCATCACATTGTTGTTTTGTCTTGCTACACCCACTCTAAAAGCTGAAATTGCCATTTGGTATATAAAGGACTGTATTAGGCAGCAGGGACCTATATCCCATACTTAATAACATATGTATCTCTTAAAGATGACAAGAAGCCCGTGAGAGTACTGTGATTTTAGCAAGTCCCCTGATGTCCTACTATATAAAACTTAAATGCTCTTCCCCACTAAATGGGTTTAATGGAGGGATAGTCCACCATTTGAGAATTTACAAACACAGCAACCCTACCACAATTGTGCACCTGTCAGAACTACAGGCTGTAGGAAAACAATCCCAAAATGAGGACAACCAGTAACAAAATACATTGAAACCAAAGGCCAGGGATATCTCTGACCAGCAATATCTCTTCAGAATACCTGAGTGTTCCTAGGCAATGCATGGGCCATGCATTGTTGTATAAACTCAGAACCTATTTCCAAACTTCCAAAATATGGGTCAGGATTATGGATCCTGGAGATGATGACTATTTAAACAGTTATTTCTAGTGTGGGTTTTGACATCCTAAGGATCGCATCCTTTAAAAATATATATATCCAAGTTTCTAGTCCTGGTTATTATGTGTTGAAACATCTCCTTGCCCTTCCCTCACTTCTATTCACCTCCATCAACATCATCTTTGCCACAAATAAATCCTACTTATTTCCACAGCTGAATCACAGAAAGTAAGATGAATTATGCAAAACTAGACACATTACGCAAATACACTTAATTTGCATAATATATTTTGATACACTCAATTCGCCCAACACATTCTGATTGCAGAATTAGATTTCCCGGAAGCAGAAATGTGGGCGAAAGAGAGAAGCACAGAATACACACAGGTAGTCATGGGGGCTCTTGGCTGAAACTAAAGGCTCTGCAGGGTCAAACTGAATTATATAGGGCCATGGGTTATGGGAGAGATGGAGGGACAGAGGATATGGCAAGATGTAGAGATAGATTGGAAAGAACTAACTAGATCAATTGTGCCAAAGGCTTGGTATTGCATGCAAATACAACAAATATAAATAAGAGACTGCATGGATGGAAGTATGGATTTAAAGATTGAGGGAAATCTCTAGAAACAAAACTAGGGTGGCAAAAGGTGATCAGCCCGTGTAGATCTATGGGGCTTCAGAGACATATAGAGGAGTAATGGGATTATAGGACAAGGAACATCTGCCAGAAGGAAGACGAGAGAGAGAAAATCACTTTGCTTGTATGAATTCCTCCGTTTGAACCTTGGCATCGTCTTGGGTGGCAGAGTAAAAGTAGATACCTTAGTTAGAAAAACTTGAAATAAAAGCCAGTAATGGTAGGGGAGGACAGGGCCATTGGTCAGCTCAACTTCAGGACCAAGACTGCCCAAATTCTCCAGCAAGAAATTATATGACCTATCCAAATTTTACATAAATTAGCATCACTTTTTTGTTACAGAGACGAGCAAGGACTTACACTGGACACTGCAGCCTTACCCCCTAACCACTAGAATCCCTACTTAGTAACCTCTGAGTTTTAGAGATTTCACCAAGCATGGCCCAAGACTAATCTGCACAACCACAATGAGGACTAGAAAAGTACCTAAAAAATAAAAACAGAACAATCAGGTTATCAGGGTGCTGAATTCTGTGCCTGCTACTGTTTCAGCATCTAGACAGAACTACAGAACACAGGCAGCCCTGAATAAGGTAGCCCTTTATGGAGAAGAGTGATAGGACCACGGGGTTATGGAATGTGGGGCGCAGGGTTGCACAAGCGGCAGTAAAAGGGGTGGCAAGATCAAAGGCAAAGGGTTACAGGGGGTCAATGCAAATAGGGTCAACATCACAGGGTCAGGTTCTCTCACCAGATAAAGTCTGTGCAATGGCTGCAGAAGGTGGGTTGCTTGAAGAAGCGAGCGGTGAACTTGTGGCTCTTCACCTCGTGGATGACCTTCTGGCGTAGCGCCCCCTTGCGGCAGAAAAGCGGCTTAGTCAAGCATTCAGTCTCTGTTGGGGAGCTCAGCAGCGCCATGGTGCCACCTGGGGGAAGCCCCAGCACCTTAACTGCTAGGGTCTTCAAGAGGGAGGGGTGGAGGGGTAGGAAAGAACCAGAGGGAAGAGGCGATTAAAAGCAGGCAAGAAAGATATGGGAGCTGGAGGGAGCAGATGGATGGATGGATGAGGAAGAGGGACCGGTGGATCGTGCAATGAATGAGAGAAGAGGTGGAAAGTGGAGAACTGATGGAGGACGGAAAAGGACTGGAGGGATGTAGAAGGATGGATGGGGAGGGATGGGAGGTGAAGGAGGGATGGGCAACGAAGAGGTGAATGGAGTAAAAAAGAGAAAGAGAGAACAGAAAGAGAAGAAGATAGTGATAGGGAGAATGGCAAAACTGCTGATGGAAAAAAAGAGAAGAGGCAGAGGTGACAGCTCCCAGGAACAGCTCCACAGAACGAGAGACAGAGAGAGATGGAGAGAGAGAGAAACAAACAGGTTGTGGATTTGGGCTGTGTCTGTTTCTCGCCCAGGAATGGGAGATTTGGACGGGGGAGGCTGAGGCTGAGCAAGGGGGGGGGGAGGGGGAGGAGTCTGAGTTTAAAGAGGAATCGCTGGGAAGGCTTTTCTCTCCCCCCACAGAAGCAGCCAGGGATCTCTCCCCTCTAACCCTTTTTCTACATTGTGCTGCCCACTAAGAAAACCCACCAGGTGCCTTGGTATCCACCCCTCTCTCGCCCACACACCAGGCACACACACACACACCCATCAGATTTCTTTCTCGCTCCCTGAAGAAACCAGAATTTCTGAGCAAGAGTAAAGAAAATCTAAAGAGATTGGTGAAAGCAGCTGAGGGGAGAAGCTGAGATACTAAAAAGATCGCCTCCTGAATGGGATTGTGGAAGAATAAAGCGGTGCTATTAAAGAAGACTCACAACAGGGAGCCAGCTTTTCTGGATTCTCTGGGGGAGGAGAGAAATCCAGAGTGGAGAGAGTTAGGGTGATCCCTTTTGGAGAGGAGTAGGGCTTAGGCAGGTGTGGGATTTGTGGAGGTTTCGGAGTCCTGGGTTCCTCCTCTCTCTGTATGCTGAACCCCCCCCCCTAGCTGTCTGTTGTCTTGTTTTGGAGTTCAGAGTTCCCTGTGACAAATGTGGAAGGCAGGTTGCCCTTTGGCAGGGTCCCATCCAGGCCTTGTTAATGAATAACTTCGGACACACAGTGGGAGAAATGGACATATATTTCAGAGGGGTGCTCAAATCCCAGGTACTTACAAGGCCGTCCTGTCAGCCTGCAAGACAAAATCCAGGAGCTTCGGCTGCCACCCTGGCACCCATTAATTTTGGTTCCTTTCTCAGAGCACCCAGGAATCTTGTGTCTCTGCACCCTTGTCTCATTCTGCATTATCTAGGAGGCGCTAATACCCACTCCCAAAAACTTTCCTCGGACCAGCTAACCATTGCCTCTCCCCCAGAGAACGCAGGAGAGAACCTGTCTCCCCAAAACATAGGTGTAGTCAAGAGACGCGGGTTGCATCCTCCTCGCATCATGTCCTCGCTCCTTTTCCTGGCACTGCTGGCGGTTCTCTGGTTCTCACAAGGCTCTGGACAAGTGGGAGGTGAGTCCCAACAGTCGCTTCACCCCTTTTCTGCTTTCAGTCCCGCTACCTGACTTTTCACCTCCCCTTCCTCATATTCCTTGTTCGGTTGTCCCTTACAAGCTGCTATATTAGGAAGGTCGGTAGGTGCCATATACCAGGTCAGGCTATTTATCCATCTAGTCCTCTGTTGTCTGACAGGCAGGAGCTCTCCAGAGTCTGTCCCAGGCAGAAAGGTCTTTCCCATCAGCTCCTAGCTGATCCTTTTAACTGGAGATGACAGGGGTTTAACCTGGGACGTCCAGCGCGTTAAGCAGTGAGCAATGCTGGGCCGGCTCTACCATTAGGAAGTGTGAGGCAGTCATGATTTGGGGTATCATGAAAGGGCAACAGAATTGTGTAATTAGTTTTTATATTTGGCAAACTGCTTGGGAGACTTTTATCTTTCATTAAGGATTGTATAAATTAATAAATAATGGTGATTTAAAATAACAACAGCGATTTAGATTATTGTGATTTATTTTTTTTTCATTTCCTGGGAGAGGCATGTGTGAGAGATTTTCTGCCTCATGTGCCAAAGCAAGCCTTGGGTACTACTATGTGCCTTCACTTTGGCAGGGCAGGTATGTTACGTGCCATCTGCCGCTCCTTCTCAGGCAGCAAATTGTCTTGGGCCAGTTCCGCTCCACCTTCCAGCCACCTACAAAACTCAAAGCTCTTGACTTGCTGAGGGAGGGACAAGGGAAGGCAGAATTTGCTATTCTACCTTAGGGAGAAAAATGTCTTGGACCAGCCCTAGAGCTGTGTTCCATCTCTACACATTGTGGAAAGATTGTACAGTGGTACCTCAAGTTAAGAACTTAATTCGTTCTGGAGATCCATTCTTAACCTGAAACTGTTCTTAACCTGAGGTACCACTTTAGCTAATGGGACCTCCTGCTGCTGCCACGCCGCCAGATCACAATTTCTGTTCTCATCCTGAAGCAAAGTTCTTAACCTGAGGTACTATTTCTGGGTTAGCAGAGTCTGTAGCCTGAAGTGTCTGTAAACTGGAGTGTATGTAACCCGAGGTACCACTGTATTTGCGTTCTGCCCATTTGCAACTCGAGCTACCATCTTATATAAATCCAGGCTGCTGGGCACAAGCAGGCCAAACAGAGCAACAATTTTTGTTAGGCCCATCAGTGAAATGACATATCCTGGCACCAGCTGCAATGTTGCAGGGGGTCCTGGAGTATTCTGGGGCTCCGACTGCAGTGCTCAGCCACTTGGAGCAGAAAACCCCCAGCTGTACCAGCTGTGTGCCTCAAAGAGGACACAGGAGAAAATAATATACTCTCCCCTGCCCCCAAAGATGAGTAGGTTGGAAGGGCCATAAGCTCAGTGGTAGAGCAGCTGCTTTGCAGGAAGACAGTCCCAGGTTCAATTTCTGCATCTCTGGGTAAGGCTAGGAGAGAAAGCAGTCTGAAATCCTGGAGACTTGCTACCAGTCAGTGCAGACAGTGTTGAACTAGATGAACCATGGTCTGACTTGGTATAAGACAGCATCCCATGAACACTTTATTATCTGTTCATTTTCTCTCACCCCTTTGTACTTTTCCCTAAAGCATTTCTCACTAAAGGCTCAGGGTGCCAGATTTTTCTGATCTCGTTCTGTGTTTGGAGAGGATCACAGGATACAAGCAGCCCGAAGTATAAAGCGCCACTTTGTGGGAAAGAACTGTAGAGCCACAGAGTTGTAGAATTTATATATCCTGAACTATCTGTTGGCTTTTGACATATACCGTATTTTTCGCTCCATAACACACACTTTTTTTCCTCCTAGAAAGTAAGGGGAAATGTCTGTGCGTGTTATGGAGAGAATGCCTACGGATGGCGGGGGGATCTGCTGCAGTTGTGAGCAGAGGATCCATGGTTCCCCTTCCTTCCCTCCTCCGTAGCTCGCTTTGAAACTTTAAGACGCCAGGACTCTTAACCTTCTCAGACCTGTCCTGTGTCCAAATAGTTTTCCATTTACCTAACCTGCTCTACCCTCATAAAGACACTTGCATATATTTAGATTTCTAGGCTCTGCAGTCTTAAAACTGAGGGTGTATAACCAGAATCCTTTCCCTCGCAGTCACTTTCAACACCTTTTATAGAAAATTGAAGCAAAAGCCAAGCCTACAAAGAGAGAGACTGGAATTGGGCTGAGCTACAATAGGAATCTAGTTAGCTTACTGAAGTCTGATCCCCTTACTCATAAGAACTTAAAAAGAGCCTGCTGGATCAGGCCAGTGGCCCATTTAGTCCAGCATCCTGTTCTCACAGTGGCCAACCAGATACCTTATTCTCTGCCTACTGTGTAAGATTGCCAGGTAGGGCTTCTTTCTTTCTGCTGTTTTCCTAACTTCCATTCACTTTTCTTCTCCCTGTTCCCACACATATTTTCTCTCTCTCTCTCCATCCAGTGTACAATTTCTAAAATGGGAAGTATCAAGCTTTTATGCCTAATTTTATCTCTGTCTATTATTAAATCAATGAATCTATCCATCTACTCATGGTGCAAATTGTCAAAAAATAATTATTAAAATGCACACAGTTGTTAGTAATGTGTTGCCGAGGATTAATGGGTTTGAGAAAGATCCAGACATCTTTCTTTTAAGCTCACGCTTCTATTTCAAGGATATCACATTTCCCCTGCAATTAAAAGCATATATATATATATATATATATATATATATATGTATGTATATATATCTCCTACCAATCCCAGAAAATAGGTTTCCTGTCCCTCCCCCACAAGTTAGTTCTTGAATTTAGAGGGCTATGTGAAATAACGTGACTGCAGAATGGATGTAGCACTATTGCAATTTAGCTGTGGGCTTAGACAAAGCAAGCAAGGCAACTGAGGCTCGCTTTGCAGATCACCAGGGTAAGCACATTGACTGCTACATAGCTAGGTTCTTACCTGCACAAATAAACCATCCCCATGACGGACTGCATAAGTCATGTTATTAAATGTAAGCTGTTTAATAATAGTATCTTTTTATATATTTATTATTCAATATACTGTGCATTTTATTTTAATTTTGTTAGCTTACAGGACCATTAAAATTTGTACCTCGGTGCAATATGATTTGGGAACTGAGTTTACAAGCTGAGGTTAGAGCTACAACATCCAATCTAATTCTTGTACTTTTCCTTGTACTTTCCCCTTGTCCCTTTGCCTCCTGTTTTGTGTAACACTTTGCCTGTTGCAGAGCTCTGGAGAATGTAAAAGCTTGCCATTATTTTTTAATTTGGTTGGTCCTAATAAAAGTGGATCTTTTGGGTGTGTGTTTTTTCCAAAATCCAGCTATGCATTTTGGAGGGTTTTTCCTTTCTGGGTCAGCTATAATTAGGCGTGTTACCTTTGGATGTATGGCTACTCACATGGCACCTTTGAGTGTTGCAGTCTAAACATTAAAAAAAATTTAAAAAAAAAAAAAAGTATGGAAATAAACAGTTAGACAGCATTTCTTGTATAAGGCAGCTTTTCAAGCCAAGTATATATTTCTCCACCTGGTGGCCATTGGCAGCATCACAACTTTTCTCATTCAAGTTTGGAAAGGAAGGAAATCTTCATTTTGCTTAAGATACAAAGCTCTAAATATCCCTCTTTTTAACCCTCATGCCCTTCCATACAGAATATATTTAAGCCAAAGTCTCAAGATCTCATCAAATGAGTGTTACTTCCCATTAACACCCTACCAACTGCTGTCATGCTCACAATTAGTTTTGCAGGAATTAGCAGGTGATAATGTTTATTATCTCCATATCGTGGAAAGTTCCACTGGCTGATTTCACTGGCACATGCAAAAAGGCTGTTAAAACTATGGGAACAGCAGGCCACAGCAGTTTCTTTCTGGTCCATTTGTAACCCTTCCTGTAATCAGGACTAGTGACAAAGTAGCCTTTCGACATTCGCATATGTAGAATTTCAGCCCCACATTTGAGACTGCAAGTACACAGTCAAGGCTCATGGCTATTTTTTAAGAAATACGGTAGCCTAGCAGACAGGGAACACAACTCCGGGACTTTTGTTCAGGCCACCAGTGATTCTGTCATGTGTAGGAGCACCAGGGTAACTGATGGACCCAACTTGCTTCGGAAAGTGAATGACATGATAATGAGAGTTTTAGAGGGAGTACAACTCTGACCGGAACATGTCATCTACCTTGGACTGGGAAACTACAACCGGTGGAACTACAGTCCATTAGAGTGAATGGGGCACTGCCCCGCCAACCTCAAGTTGCCTTCGGCGAGCCCCCATGTGTCTGCCTTCCAAGGGGGTGGCACCAGCTGCCAGCCTCCTCCTGCTGCTGCTGCGAATCAATAGGAAAGGAACTGAAAGTGCCAATATTATAAAGTGGTTACACAAATCCTTGGGGCAATCCTATTTGGAATGCTGTCTACAGTTCTGGTTGCCTTACCTCAAAAAGGATATTATAGAGTTGGAAGAGGTTAAGGAAAGCGCAACCAAAATAATCAAGGGATGGAACAACTACAGTGGTACCTCGGGTTAAGTACTTAATTCGTTCCGGAGGTCCGTTCTTAACCTGAAACTGTTCTTAACCTGAAGCACCACTTTAACTAATGGGGTCTCCTGCTGCCGTTGTGCCGCCACTGTGCGATTTCTGTTCTCATCCTGAAGCAAAGTTCTTAACCCGAGGTACTATTTCTGGGTTAGCGGAGTCTGGAACCTGAAGCATATGTAACCTGAAGTGTATGTAACCCGAGGTACCACTGTACTCCCCAATGCGGGAAAGTTGCAGCATTTGGGGCTTTTCGGTTTAGAGAAGAGGCGAGTAAAAGGCTAGAAGTTTATGAAATTGCACATGGCATGGAGAACGTGGATAGAGAAGGGGAGGGAAATCCTTCTGCCATATCACTAGAACTCATGGACATCCAATGAAACTGAATTTTGGAGGATTCAGGACAGACAAAAGAACGTACTTCCTCACACAGTACATACATAGTAAAACTACAGAATTTGCCGCCACACGAGGCAGTGATAGCCGCCAGCTTGGATGGCTTTAAAAGAGGATTAGAGAAGTCCGCTGAGGTAGAGGCTTTCAATGGCTACAAGCCACAAAGTCCACACTCTGCCTCCCCAGTCAGAGGCAGTACGCTTCTGAATACCAGTTGGTGGCAACCACAGGAGGCAGAGGGCCCTTGCTCTCAGGCTTTCCAAAGGCATCTGGGAGCCTGTGTCTCTCACTTCTCTCTCACCTCAGTGGATATTCCCTGCTGTCAGCCTTTCTCTTCACTGAGCAGCCCCCAAATATCTTTCCCCAAATCTCCAGATGTTATTTTGTTTTTATGTGCTCATCGTGATTCATTCTGGTTGGAGCCAGTGGGGTTAGAACAGCATGCTGTTTTTAGGGTAGGGGGGGTTGGTTTTTATGTTCTATTGTACATCACTTAAATATTGTTTTAATAATAAACAGTTTACAAACGGTTTTGAATTTTTAAAAATAATAAAAACAAAAGATTTGGCTTTTTTTTAAAAAAAAAAAGCTAGGTTCATATTCTAACAGGTAACCCAATTGTTGTTGATGGCCGTCAACAGATTCAACAGATAATAATTCTTATTCTGTTACAAATCGGTTGGGGGGGTGAAGGTTCTGCGTGGTTTTTTGAGTTCAGATTTAGGTTCAGTCTGACATCCTGCTTGTACACAAACCTAAACAAACAAGCACCCGGCAGGAGTCGGAGACATTGCGAGAGTAATGAGGCACAGCTTAAAAATTAGGTTCAGCTGAGGGACATTTGAGAAGCTCGCTAGGAGGAAATGAGCCACGATGCCGAAATTATCTCATTCACCACGGGGAAAAGCAGGACCAGGCCTACCATGAGGCAGCCCACTCTGATGGGAGATTTCAAAACAACGTTAAAGGATGGCCAACTGCCAATTATTTAGTTTACTGTGATATTTTGTATCGCCTCAAGAGGAGGAGACACTATTTGAATTTTTTGTTTGAGGCAACAAAGCATCTTGGAGCTTCTTGTTAGGGCATAGCTGTCAACTTTTCCCTTTTCTTGTGAGGAATCCTATTCGGAATAATAAGGGAATTTCCCCTTAAAAGGGGGGGAAACGTTGACAGCTATGTGTTAGGGAAGGGAAGGAAGGTATTTCTTTACCTTCGACTCCCCCATTACAGACACACAGAAGTAGCTCTTAAATACGATTGTATATCACTCGCCTCTTTCCCCGGTCTCATTCCCTCATATCTGTGTAACCACTTATCTTTTCTTCTATTTGCAGTCAGGAATCTGACCGACCCCAAATGTCCACTGCGGAAGAAGAATTTTACAATGCTGACAGGGCAGACGTGCCAGAAGAACTGTGAGCGCCGCAGGTGCTCTAAAAGCAGGAAGTGTGAATGTGACGGGGAATGTGGAATGAGCTGCATTTCTACAGGTAGAAACTTGACTACCTAGTCCACACACAGGAATATTCACAGAAAATCCAGGCATTTACATGCTTCCCAGTCCTTCCGACCTAACTCTGCCCTAGCCACTTTACAGAGATTTCAGAAGTGCTCCGTTACCAGGGAAAAAATCCTTTAAACCATTTTAGAGAACTTGAGACTTCTGATTCCCAAACTCCAAACTTCAGCCATATAGTCTTCATCCCCCATTCCAGAAGAACCTAAGATTTGTAGTTTTATGTCAGTTTCAAGATATGTATGTGTTTGTTTATATATTGAAAGTTGCTTTGAGTTGCTTTGGTTGTTTTTTAAAAAATCAATAAATAATCAATAATCATTCCCAGATCCTTTTCTCCTCCCTGCACATCTCCAATCACATTCCACTTGCAATGATCCCAAGATGCTAGGTCATAGCCTCTCATTTTTCCTTATGAAACAGGTTTCATTCCTCTTCTGGCTCCCATAACCCCAAAAAACCACCTAGCCCACATTCACCATCCCATTAGGTGGGAAGAACTGTTTTCTAGTATTCCCAGCCCTGCTCTAGCATCTGGCCTTCCATTTATTCCTTTTCCAGAGGAGTCCTGGTCTCCAGATTCCTTAACCCCTCCTTTGCCCCAATTAAGAAAATTCAATATTCCTGATTGCCAGTTCCCTGTTGCTTCAACCTACTACACCCCAAAAGATCAGCGCTCCTGGTTTTCATCTCTTTCTGTCCATTAGACCTTCTATTTCCTCACAAGAACCCAGGAGTTCTTCTTCCAACATGGATCACTAGACCCTGAGAATCCAGGCTCAACTCTTTCCCACAAAATTCAGGGTTCTCATCAGCCACCATCTTCCTTTCTGTATTCTTCCAAGGCTTGAGGTGTGCATGGCCGGTGACAATTGACAATGCTGAGACACAACTGGTCCAGGAATCCACTATGTTTGGGGACTTAATGGAGGTGACATGCAAGCCTGGATTTATAATGGCTGATGGGCAGGAAGTGGCAGTAAGCCGCTGCCAAGGAGACGCGAAGTGGAGCTTCACTTTACCCTGTGAAGGTAATCAACCATTTCCTACCATTGTGATCAATAATTACCAGGAGGGACCAGGCTCTCAAGCACCTCTTATTCAATCTAGAACAGCCACTGATAACCCTCCACCACTACAGTGCCTCCACCAGGTGACAAACAAAATCCAACAATTGGTCTAATGCACCAAGGATACAGACTTATCAAGCATTTTCTTTCTTCCCCTTCCTCTTCTTTATCAGATGCTCGTAACCCACCATCCCACTGCAAATCTCCACCAGAGATCGAAAATGGATCCCATGAAGGGGGCCCTTACAACACAGGAAGGGAAGTGCACTACTGGTGTGACTATGGGTAAGTCAGTTGTTCAGGTTGTGAGCCTGAGGGCAGGGACTGTCTTAGAACTGATTTGTTCTAAGTGGTTCAGAGAGTCTTTCTGGGCTAAAGAGCATGTTAGAAATGATGTAAATAAAACTATCCTCAACTCCATCACTTACTCCAACACACTGATCAGCATACACATCCCATTTTATTTTATTTTATTTGTGGTGCTGTGGTCTAAACCACTGAGCCTCTTGGGCTTGCCGATCGGAAGGTTGGCGGTTTGAATCCCCACGACGGGGTGAGCTCCCATTGCTCAGTCCCAGCTCCTGCCAACCTAGCAGTTCGAAAGCACGTCAAAGTGCAAGTAGATAAATAGGCACCATTCGGGGGGGGGAGGTAAACGCCGTTTCTGTGCGCTGCTTTGGTTTCACCAGAAGTGGCTTAGTCATGCTGGCCACATGACCCAGAAAAACTGTCTGCGGACAAACATCGGCTCCCTCAGCCAGTAAAGCAAGATGAGCACCGCAACCCCAAAGTCATTCGCGACTGGACTTAACTGTCAGGGGTCCTTTACCTTTACCTTTATCATATCTTCCCTGACATCATTCTCATGCAAAAACACCACTGAGAGTGTCTGAACATATATATAATGTTACAATTTCATAAAACGAGGTAGAACAATAAAAAAGTCAGTCAGCTGTTTTTAAAAAGCATAAAAACATTGTCTGCCTCAAAATATAAATCTAATAAATACTATCTCATATCTGGCCTCAAGCGGAAAGCTACTGAATACTTCCTTCTGATTTCTTCTTCTTCTTCCTACCTCACAGATATCGCCTAGAGGGACCCAGCTCTCTTTTATGCCAAGAGAATGAGGAATGGTCACATGCAGCCCCAACCTGCCACCGTAAGTAGTCAAGATTATTGGGGTAGGGAACCGAGCTTCTTTCTGGCCGCTTGATTAGTATTCAGTAGTATTCTATTCCTTGGTAACACAGATCCACACATTTTACCATATATACCTCAAATAAACCAGAAGAAACTCCACCTGGAAGTACATTATAAGTTCTGAGTCAAAGGCCAAGCAACTTCTGCCTTTACCAAACAATAGGCTGATATATCCATCCATTCACACATACACATGCTGACCTACCCAATAAAGCATCCATCATCCTTCTATACATCACTCCATATTTATTTCTCTGTTCATAAATCCAAATAAACACCCATCCATGAGTTCTCTATCTGTACATCTGTACATCCTTTCCATCCATTTATGCACACACACACATACTTAGAATACTTTTCTTTTTCTCTCCCTAGCTGTGACCTGTTCCCGACCCCCCAATATTGCTGAAGCAACCCTGGTTGCTGTGCACCAGTCTGAATACCCTGTGGGAACTGTCATCTATTACTTGTGTAACAAGGACTTCCTCTTAGATGGCTCTAACAGAGTGGTTTGCCTGGAGAATGGAAACTGGTCCCAACTACCCTACTGCAGAGGTACTTTCCTCCTAATCCCCACTGCTGTTTACATACTGACAATTACTTTACCAACCCATCCATTAGATTCCATACCAGCATCCCCATTGTCTTTGCTGTTCCAGATGGTGAAAAGCCAATGGGTCTGTCAACCGTACTTAACAGGCTTTGTTTCTTACCCTTACCAGCCCGCTGTCCCATCACTGCCAAGAGGAGCCGGATGATCTACCAAGGGCGTAAGCTCTGGGTCTATGAGATCCCTGATGGTCTGGTTCATCATGGAGAAATTGTCACGTTTTTCTGCCGTAGTGAGAACAAGACCTGCAGTTTTACGGCCGACAGCCAGTGTTTCGATGGTGTGTTGAAGATGCCCGACTGCTACGATGGTGAGACAGAAAACAACCCTGCACAAAACAACATTGGGTGTTAAGTTTTGGTGGACTGGGGGCAGGAGACTGGAACTGTTATGAATATTATTGCTTTACGCTCTTGGGAGGCAGGTCTCCACAAGCTAGTCTCTCTTGCAATATATCTCAGAACATTGAGCTTATGACTGGTGCGGTATGTGCCATATTCCAGGCACTGTCCTCGATTTGGGGCTCCACTTCCAGATTTCATTGTGGAGAAGTTCAGTTCCTCATTAAAATGAACTTGAAGTCCGTACAAGTATATAAAAAAATTCATCCCTCTAACACCAAAATTGTGCAATCAGCATGCAAAGGAACCGAAGTACACTTGAGTAATTAACCGCAATTATAGAACCGTTCGTTTCTGATCAAAGAGCTTGAGATGGGATTGGGAAATGCATAGCATAAAATCTTAGTATTCCTATTTTAGATATTCTGCTAGCTTCACAGAGGATTTGCACCACCCCCTGTTTGAGGGATGGGGGACACCATACATAGGCAAGAGGGTCCGTTTTTATTATATTCCAACCCTCATTGCAAACAGCTTTGCTGATTCCCTTCTCTTTCTTCTTACAGAGCCTACCTATCTGCAATACCACCTGTTCCCCAAAAGAGTTGTATCTGAAATACCTGCTTGTTGAGCACCCCTTCAACCCATACATTCCCCAATGAGATGCTTCCTTCTCTTCTTGTTCTGGCTCAGCAGGCCTCTTGGAAGTGCGGAAAAGACAGATGGAAAAGAGGCAATCAACACAAGCAAATAGGAAACCAGCCACATTTGAAACAGAGATCGGGCCTGGGAATTTAAGTATCCTGATGGCCAACAGCTAGCTATTTTATTGTACTCTATTTATTTTCTATCTTTGTTGCTCCCCAGATGAGCAAGAGATCCCTTTCAGGTCATAAAAACATGCAAGTCAATTTCCTATGTACCCCTTGTTTTTCTCCATTCATCAAGCTGTATGGCTGGATTGACAAATCAGTGCCAACATGATACCACTGGTGGGCTTTTTAAACATGAAGGCAGTTTCATGCAGTAGTTTTTATATAGTGTGTCAAGCATTCAGTACACTTCATATAAATTAATTGCAGTGATCCTACCAATAGCCCTGGAAGGTGAATTATCCATTATATACGAGGGAAGGGCTGAGTCTCAGTAAACAGTGAATGGCTAAGGTTACCCAGAGAGTATATGTGGCTCAAGGAAGTTAATTTGTACCAAGGACCTCTGATCTTATACAGTGGTACCTCGAGTTACATACGCTTCAGGTTACAGACTCCGCTAACCCAGAAATAGTACCTCGGGTTAAGAACTTTGCTTCAGGATGAGAACAGAAATCGTGCTCTGGCGGCGCGGCAGCAGCAACAGCAGGCCCCATTAACTAAAGTGGTGCTTCAGGTTAAGAACAGTTTCAGGTTAAGAACAGACCTCCAGAACGAATTAAGTACTTAACCCGAGGTACCACTGTATTGCAGTTCATATCTTACGAATTATGCTACACCAGCTTTCTGTATGCTTAGAAAATATTCCTCCATCACAAAAGGGATTGTATTCAAGTAAATTAAAAAGGGGGAAGGAAAAGAGTTTAAAGTTGCAATCTTATGCATTCTTACTTGGAGTAAACATAAATTAACTTGATGAGGGAGGCTTGCAATGCAGTCCTACACATCTCATCAGAAGTATGTCCCATTGAGCTGAACGGAGCTTACTCCCAGGGAAGCTGATGTAGAACTGCAGCCTTCTTTCTTACAACTCATCCACAGAACTGAGCTGTGCAACAGGCAAAAAAACTGAACATAGTCTCAGATTGGTGGTGCTACAGGTAGCAAACTGGAGCCAATCGTAACAATGGGCAGGTGCAACATTCATCCCAGGCCCCGAGGCCTTGTGACACGGGGCTGTGTATGAAGAGAATGGAAACATAAGGCAACTGAAAAACAAGCCTGGAATGAGGTTTACAGCTGATGCTACTGAATACTCGTGTAAATTGATTTGTACATAATAAACTGCACTTGTTATACAACAGTGTGAACTTGTGCTCACCATGCAACAGAGAGGAACAAAACAAACCTCTGAGGTTCGCTGGTCGTGCTGCTGCACACGGTTTTAGAGTTGTCACTCTTTCTAGCAGGGCTTTTCCACAGATGAAATTAGGGACATCCCCATCACTTGGGTGGGTGGCACTGAAACTCCTTAATGTAAGCAAACCTTGGCTCCCATCCAAAGTGGCTGTCCGCCATGTTTTGATAACCTGGGGTGTCATGAAATGGGACCCAGGTAAATGTCATGACCTGAGACCCACTGCGATCAACACAGCAAGTAGGCATTTCTGATCATACATTGCTTTCCCAGCACTGATATGTCTTCTCTAAGTCAGTTTCTAATTACTATAGCTTGCAGTCTCCTATCAGCAGGTAGAAGGACACCAAGAAGAGCTTGTGCCGATTCGGAATGCAGGGAATCCACAACAAATTCAGATTTTACCATTCTAACAGGACTACAAATGTAGCCCATACTGCTCTAACTAGGGCAAGGCCTACAAGTAGCACTGTCTTGAGGTCCCCCTGAACTGAGGGCTCTGGCTGCATCTGCATATCCTCCAACATTTCTCCAGTGAAAACAGGGGTGTCCCATTCCATAATTTTACTATTTATACCCCCACACATCTTCCTGCCTTGCCCCAGCCATAGCTTCCAACATATATAAAAATATAATAAAACATTAAACATTTTTTTTAAAAAATCCTATACAGGATTGCCTTCAGACGGCTTGGGGCCGGATAACTCCCTACCCTCCAACATTTCTCCAATGAAAATAGGGTCACCCTAAGGAAAAGTAGGACATTCTGGGATCAAATCAGAAACTGGGATGGCTTATCTAAATGAGGGACGTCCCTGGAAAATAGGGACACTTGGAAGGTCTACATCTGTTGAATTTCTGCATTTCATGTAGCTCTTAAAAGATAAAGGAGCACTACTTGACGGGGACACAGCAATTTGAGGTTGCTGGCTAGCATGTACCTTCTTCTCTCCACCCCATGCTTTTTGGCCAACCATTTTGCCAGTTCAAGGGGATAGAGCCTAGGCCAAGGTTTAGATTGACTAGGGCCAAGCATATTTCAGCCTGATGAAAATGTGGAAGGGAAAACCATGTATTGTGCCTCCATTTTTAAGCTCCTCTACAAATAGAGATGGGAAGCATTTAGCAGTCCCCTTTCTGTCACAAAGTGTTCCCCAACCCCTTCCTGGCTTGTTGCTAGGCAACAGGCCTATTTCCCCCTGGAGCCTTAGCAATGGTGACAGGGGTTGGGGTACGACATCAGTGCCTAAACTGAGAGAAATAAAAGGAACATGGGGTGGGGGGAGGTGTGAGTCTCTGAGGAGGGCCTTAAAGTTTCCACAAATATCTGCAAGTGAGGTCAACTCAACCCCTTAGATTAACAAAGAGGTGACAAGATGTTGGGTGGGAACTGGATTTTACCTCACTAGGTAACGTGTGGAAAAGGGAGGCAGTAAATCTGAAGGCTACACAAATCCAAAAGCAACACAAAACCAGGAAATTTAGTATTGAGTATGATGCCCTTCAGTGAGTCCTACCCAGTGCACTTTGAGCTAGAGTGACTCTAATTTCAAGCCCATGTCGCTGATTATCAAAGTTACTATTACAGACTTGAAAAGACATCAGAACTGTTTGACTGAGAAAATCATGCACAACCACAGAATAAAGCCATTGGGACTAAATATGAAGAAACATTTCAATAATCACCATCTTCAAATATGTTCATTATTGCTCACAAACCAGACAAAGACAACTTAGGGCTCATCCAGTCAACCTATTTGTTGAGCATTCATCCTGATTTGCTTGAGTGAATTGGTGCTTCCATCATTTTGGGGAAGGATACAGTACAATCACATCCCTGCAATTGCAGGATGCACAATTATAGTTGCTTAGGACAGTGTTCCCCAACCTTGGGCCTCTAGCTGTTTTTGGACTACAACTCCCATCATCCCTCGCTAGCAAGACCAGTGGTCAAGGATGATGGGAATTGTAGTCCAAAAACAGCTGGAGGCCCAAGGTTGGGGAACACTGGATTAGGAGGTCTTGCAGAGCAAACCTTCTTCCCCCAAAGGTCAGACTTCTTTGCAATGAGGAAAGCAATGGGAAAATGCACCGGAAAGTGAGGGATAACACTTGCTTTGATGCAATGTCATCTAACCACACTTGCAAAAAATTCAGAATGAATGCTGATTAAATAGCCACTGTCTACTAATCCTCCCTGTTCCTGCAAACAAATCAAATAGGAATACTCAATCAACAGGTTGCCCAAAGTTTGTGGGGAGCTTAGATTATATCCAGTCTTTATTGAGCATTTGTTCTGATTTGGTTGTGGGAAGATTATATGACACTGAGCATTCATTCCAATTTGCTTACGGGGTGTGCATTTGTCTTCCCATTAATTCCCATTTTTCAAGCCATTTCCCTGTCACTTTCCTAGCTGCAAAAAGTTGATTTCTTTTTCAAAAGTGCATTTGATATGCTAGAATGACTTTGATCTACTTTAGCTGAGCAAACCAAACTTCCCTGGTATGCACATGAATCCCTCTCTCAAAATACTAACAGTCTGGACGTGCTTTAAAACAAAAACAAAAGAGAGGAGAGGAGAGAAGCATACAAACGGAAGATTTACAAACTGCATGCAAGCTAAAGATTACAAAAGATAAAACGAGGCAAAAGGTGAACAAAATGGCTGGGCACAGGATTGCCCTTTGTGTTAATCATCGCTTTTCTAAAATAAAATAAAAACCTTCAGTTTTTGGATATGCAAAGTATAGCTGCCAGCTGCTAGCAAAGGTCATGTACACAAGCATTTATTCCAGGAAAAAAAAAATCCCTGACAGTTTTTGTATGCAATGTGTGTGAAGAGGTGAAGGTCACTATTGACGACAAAATGATCTCTCTTTCTCTTGATCTCTCTCTCTTTCCTGCCAAACCACCAGGCCAAGTATAAGTGATGGTTGCCACTGGGATAAAAGCAAAGACACAGCCTCCACATCCCTCCAAGTTCCTGGAAGCCACCTGAAAAGGGTGAGTGACCTAGTGAGTAACTAGGATGCTATATGCTCCAACTGCCAGGGACAGCCCCTATTATCCAGTCTCTGGTAAATATAGACAATCCTCTTTTCTTGTCCCTAATTTTTGCTTTTAAATGAGATGCCTTGTTAAAATGTTAATAGAGTGTGAGCTGTGTGGTATTTATGGCAGGACTTGGGGGACGGAATCCAGGAACTCAACAATCGGAATAAACAGACCCCTTCAAAAAATGCAGCATTGCTACCTTACATTATTAAGTAAACCAAGTAATACCCATTGCCATCTAAAGATGAGCACCCCCATAAAAGCCCAGAGTCTAAAAATTACTTAAGTGCATCACTGTGTGAGTTGAGTTGCTAGCATTGCAAATATTCAGTGCTTCAAGGTCAATCCAGAAATAAGTGAAATGTGTGTTTGCATTTCATGTATCTGTTGGAAGGAACGAAGGAAGCCAAGATGTAGAAGAAGCAACCAGAGTTAGGACCACAGCCGATGAGGACAGAGGGGTACCTCTTTCTCCTGTACTACCAACAAAAAACCCCGCCCTCCAGATCTTATTCCTCCAGAATGAAAGCTGCCAGGGCAGCC